TATTTTCAATATATTGTTGTTTTTTTTTTTACTTAAAGAAGAATCTAAAGACTCCCTGGCGAGTCCATTTTTTTTAAGACTCCCCACAAATGTTTCACCATTCAATTCAATGATTTGATCATCTTCCAAGTATTTCTCGACTTGGACAGTTCTCATTCGCTCAATACTGCCTCACTTGTGGGGTCATAAACTTCCGAACCATGTTCCTTAAGCCACTCGATATTTTTAATCTTTCCACACAACGATATTTCGTAAAGTCCATACGTTTGGCAAGTAGGTCACTATAATCGGTTCATTTCTAATAAGTAAATAAGGAGGGAAAATATTGTTTTCATGGTTTAGTTCGCAATATTTCGAAAATTTTAAGTTCAATAACATCTTCAGGACCACTGTGGTTTAATATATAATTTAATAAAATTGACGAAATCATTTTTTTTTCAAAAATCTTGAACTTTCCTTTAATAGGAATCGAAACGATCCGTGTTGAAATACGTTTACTTATACATGTTGGACAGGCATATGAGAAAACACTCCACGGGTAAGTATTTTTGCCAGGATACTTTATTTATTTTAGGAGCATACTTTATTTTGCCGCCCAACAAAAGTTATAATTTTATTAAGGTTTCCATTTCATTATTGCATGGTAACTGGAACGATCTAGGATCTGAGTACTAACACTTGGGGGAGAACGACCAATAAAGACCTGCTTACAGAAAATGGTCAACATCAACATATCATGATATGAAGGCGTGAGGTTAATATAGGTAGGGCATGTAGCTCGGAGCAATCCGTATAGAAGCCTCTACACCACAATGAATGCCTCGATGGAAGGTGAAATACCACGTGGAAGACCAAAGAGCAGAGGGATTGATCGAATCAACAAAGATGTAATAGAATTGCAAACAGACAACTGGAAAGAAATAGCTCAAGATAGGTAGAAATGTTGTTAGCTTGTTGAGGTGAAAAAAGATTTAGGTCTGTAATGCCAACAATAAAAAAAAAAATCGAAATAAATATCATCATTTCATACCATTAATTAATTTTATTGACTGAGAGAAGGTCAAAACAAGAAAGTATAAAATTGTTTTTTTCTAAATCAATTAAATAATTTCGTTTGAAATTTAAAGGGCAATTGCCCCCTTTGCTCCTACCTAGTTCGGCGGCCCAGCATTTATTTGCCTCTGTGATAGAGAAGTTATTGAATGGAATTTATCTCCGGAAATTTCATTAAAATTGTAAACATATAGTAAGGGCTACGCTAGTCACGTCGATTCGACTGCAGAAAGGCATGGAACCATACCCATACCTTGATGGATAAATCGCAATACGCGAGTAGAAATTTTCAACCTTGAGGACAAATTTAAGGTAATTTTTTTAACCTCACTATCTTAAAAAGCGAGGAAGCAAAAGATCAAATGGAATTAAGCATTCATCCAGTTGAACATATAACACAGTGACGACATCTAGTGCCTGCCTATATATATTTAATAAACATATACCAATTTTCTTTCAAATATATTTTTGTCAAATTATAACGAAGTGAATTGAAACGAGATCTAAAAGCTGATGGCATAGCTAAACAGAATTACTGTTATTACACAATCGGTAGAGTGAATTGAAGTTACAATATGGGAAATCCTATAATATAGTAATTTAAATTCATTAATTAATATGAAAATTAATCCAAACATAAGATAATATTTAAAATTATACCAGTTATTACAACAGACCCTTCTTAGACGTCTAAATATATACAGGAATGCGAAGCGGAAGTAGTGTAAAAAATGAGGTAGAGGCTGAGGATGGGCATACCGAATCCTAACCATGGCCGGCACAGACAAGGTCAATTGACCAAAATGCTAGGCCATCCATGTTCAAGAAGAAAGAGAAACGGAACAAGAACTAAACACGATCATTTCCTATTTTAATAAATTACTGATAAACATGAATGGAAATATGAGTAACACGTCACACATCAAAGAGTGCTCGCTATATAAACCTGAAAAACAGTTTTTATTGGTAAAGGAAATGTATGTTTTGAATATTTCTAAAAATGAAAAATACTGAGGACCTAAAACGATATGTATATACCTACTAACTTGAAAGGATCAAAGGTATTGGAATGCTCTACTAAACAGAACGTTTCATATAAGATAGGTACATTTATAAATAAAAATATTTCATAATATAAATTTAATCATAATACTTTTCTTAGTGAAAGTAAACATATTCTTCGATACATTTAGACGAAACCTTAAAATATGAATACACAAAGAAGGTGCAAAAAAGAACATTTTATTTCTTTGAATAATTTTTTTTAAATTATGATGGCTTGAAAGTTATGAAATATAGTGTATAACTGTCTCCTATCCAACATATATCTTTAAGACAGCTGCGGTGGGCGGCTTTTCTGAATTACATATGCCCCCTTTGTTCTATGCCGACAGAGTTATAAGCATTATCACTGACTCCTAATAAGCTCAAATTTTTCATAATTATTTATGCTCTAAATATTGTAACATTCTTGCCCTGATTAAAAATTTAAATTATTTTTAAAAGAATAAATGAATACTAGATATATTTTTAAAATATGCTTTCTTTAAAAATGATAAACATGACTGACTACTAGAGATCGGAATTTTATGCAATTGATATGTTTGTAAACAGTTTTTAAGGTGCGTTTTTATACATTTCACGAACTGGAAAATATAATTACCTAACTTAACTAACAGCGAAATTATTGCTAAACCAAACTATATATTTTATTTCTCTTGAAACCGACATCAGATGGAAAATGACAAAAAACAAGAAACTATAACAAAAATATAAAAATAGCTTTGTGAAATAACCATTTATATATCTATGATCTCTGGCCTTAACTACTTAAGTCGAACACTAGTCCTCATCAGTTCTGTAAATTGAGAACATCTTCCAAGCATTCTAAACGCAGTGAAGAAGGTAAAAAACTCCAAGTTCTCATCTAGACCTCTACAAATTTTTGTACTGTGAGTTATCAACTTCTTGAAAGGTGTTAAGAAGGCTTGGAAGATGATCGCAATTTACAGAACTTGTGAGGATCATTTTTCGACTTAATTAGTTATGGCCAGAGACCATAGATATTTGTTTGTCCTATAGTTTGTGAAATGTCTCTAACGCACCTTTAAATTGCTGATCAAATATCTTTACGAATTAGTTTACTCATTATTGAAATTTAGCATTGCATATTTGATAAATGCATACGATTATTTCAGATTACAATCGTAGGTTCATTTCACGACAATAAATTTTGATATTTTCTTATTACATTTTTTAAAAGGAATTTTATTTTTGTTTTTTAACATTGACATGGATAAAAAACATAAATACTTAATGTTTCTTTTATGCTATTGCGTAATTTACGTATGTAAAATTATGTATTTGTATTTCTTTGATATTGTTTTGAAAAGTTTCATATTTTCTTTTTAACCAGTAATAAATATATATTTATAATGTCTGGTTTTGTTTGTCACATTATATTATGTTGTGATTATTTCGTTTTATGAAACAATAAACAAGTATAAAAAAAATTAAAATAATTATAATTTCATTATCAACATTTCTCCCAATTTCTTTTTTAGTTGAGTACTTTTTGAAGGCTTGTTAGGTATATTAGAATACTTAAGCTGCCTTGTTGAATATTTGGCGTTTTTTTTTTTTTTTTTTTGCTAATTATGATGTCTCTCTACTATAGAAAGTTATTTCATGAGGATGTTATTCCATATTATACGGCATATTCAGCAGGTTTTTACTGCATACAAATCCGGACTGTGGAAGTGCATTTACCAAAGTAATAAATGAAAATTGTAAATGTACGGACTTAAACATAAAATGATAGATTAAACGACTGATGAAGAAACCAATGAAATATGAAGCAGATCACTCAAATAAAACTACGAAAAGCGTTATTATCATGCTATTTTGAGCTTCCAATAAGCACTGAAATACGGTAACAAAAGAATTAAAAGACTTATTAAACAATTTCGTCAATATTGCTGCGAAATACATCCATTTTTTTCGTAATAGAGAATCATGATTTTCAGATAGCCAAGAAAATACAGAAACTTTTGAAACTAAAACAGGAAACTTTCTGGACTATCCTTCATAAGAAACAGATTTGATGTCCAATAAATACTGAAATGATTTATTAAATCATATTTATATTATTGGTCATCATAGGTATATAACATTTGTTTCTGAATTATTACATATTACTTTCTATTAATATCAGGAATTCTATTAGATAGCCAACAAATTAAAATGAAATCACAACTAAGTAAATTTTAAATATGATTTTGGTATTTAAAAGGATATTAGAGGATACCTTGTAGAAACTGAACAAATAAAAACCATTCCAATAGGAACGATTAAACTAGTATTTTAACAAAAATACCAACTTTTTCTATGAAAAATGAGTGTCCGAAGACACCAATATTTAGAAAAATGCGTAAATAAAGTAATTATTACAATGAGATAATCCTACTTCTCCAGAGGAACATTACATTAACCTAATCCTATTACATTAATTTTAATACATTGAAGAATGTAGCACTTAGTACTTGGATAATAATAAAAGAAATAAGAGTATCATCAAATATGGAATGTAGATTACTAGAATTTTTGTGAACAAAAAGTGAAATATTTTAAATCCTGCTTTGCAGGTTAAAAGTTCTGACCGGGTACGATTAAAAAATACTAAAAACGAAACTATATTTTATAATAAATGAATAGGTCATTTTAAATTAATTATTCCTGAGAAGTAAAGTAAGATCCAAGCAACATTAATGATTTGGATAAAACAAATAAAGAAAGAATTGGAAAAAGCTGGATTATTTTTTTTAAAAAAGGGAAATATTATTAACCTACTTTTAAAACTAAACTATACAAAGCAATAGAACCTTTTTTTAAATTTTAAAACCAAGCATGTCAATAAATCTATTTCCATAAATATTAAGTCTACTTACCATAGCAGGTTAGTATACGAATCAAGGCAAGGAGGAACACAGCAAATACCATCCTACTACCTTGTAATTAAAATCCACATAACGAGAATCCTGCATACCTCTTCTTAGAATAACTTAATCACTTCACAACTTGAATACACGAGCTAAAAATGAAACCTAACAGCTTCTCTAACTTCACGACATAACCCGAACCAAACGTAAACAACAACTGACAAGTTTAGCTACCGCCATATTTAAACTTAATATGGCTGTTAGATCTAGCTAGTTGTATGATTTTAATGTACCAGTGTTAATCACCTCAAACTTTGATATTTTACTATTTAGTAACTGCTTTCTGATATTTGAGACTGCATTTTGTATAATAAAAATTAATTCAGCTCTACCATATATATAATATTATATAGCAATTTCTAACTTGCGTTATGCGCTCTCTATGAGAGAAAATAATTACTAATAGTTCCGCCAAATTAATGCCATAGTTGTCTGGACAAATAAATTTTACATGTGTAGTTATTTATAAAGGTAAACTTAAATTATATAAATAAACCTAATTTATCATTTTGCACTTATATATTGTATCCAATTATTTAATAATTATAATTACATAAAGAAGTTAGTGGAATTATGTAATTTGAAGTAATATTAATTAGTACTCATTAACCAATATCAGTAAATAATCAATAAAATCCATTCCATTAGATCAGTAGTAATACCATTATCTTTATTTTATAATTATTAATTAATTTGTTACTAAATTAAAGGTTGTTGGTATTTTAAGAATTTTAGAAATATTATAATAAGAATACAAGAAAAGGAAATATAATTTTTAGTTCTTTCTATGTTTAATTAATAACGTTAATGTTTTATATATATATATATGTATATATATATATATATATATATATATATAATTGTTTTCCATATATAATTGTATATAATAAATAATTGTTTTCCATATTCTTACCGTTTTCTATTATTGTATATATACTTATGTAATGATAAAGTAATGTAATCAATAGTTGCTAAAACAATTATTTTACATATATTGCTTTGGTAAACTACTGTGTTCTTATCATTATTTTTTTAAATACCATTGATTACTTGAATGTTAATTTACTTATCTGTTACCATTTATTAATAATACTTAAATATATTTTCAATAATTTATGCTTTTTACTATATGTTACTCATGAAGAAAATAAAATACCAAAAAAATTATTAATTAAACATCATATTATTCTAGCTAATATTCGATGAATGCAAGTCCCTCTGAGATCAACTCTATATTTTCACTGAAAATAATGGTATAACAATAAGATAGTTTAATTATTAATTGTTTGTTCTTGATTATCATTTTTATTGGTTCAATTCAACTTGATGTTTTTAAATATCCAATAATAATTTATAAATGCTAAATAAATTAATTTCTAATAACAATTAATTATTATTTTTTTATGTGACATATCAATTACAGAAATAAACTTGTAATTATCAATTTCCTTCTAATTGAAATACAGTATTAATATTTATAAAACAATAAAAATTTCCATGAGAAGAAAAAGTATTTTGACCACATTAATAATAAAACCAAGTTTCAATATGAAACAGTAGTATTCGAGCAACAGCAGCTCAGCGTTCTTATTTTACAAAAAGTATCAATTTGAATCTGATTTGAGTAGATTAACTTTTATTTTGTAATGGACCCGCATGGCTTCAATAGATTGAGAACTTGTAGGGTAAACTGTCCTTACTGCCAAAGTTAAATACATAAGATACTAAATAATCTCTAAACCAAGTCAACAAACTAGGAAAGCAAGTCCAAGATTTTCACCTTCTGTTTTTCTTCTCCTTAGGTAACATATAAATTAATTTATCTTCAGGAGTACTCAATTTATATCATGAAACCCCCTTCTGTGCACCCCTGTTCAGTTATACAAATATGATGTCAGTGTAAGGAACATCCAGCTAACAATAATATTTGAATATTCCATTTTTGAATTTTTGATTTTAACAAGAATTAGTGCTTTGAATTATAGTCATTCGCAAGTCTAAAAACTTATGGCTCGATGAGCCGAAACGTCGTAGTAGGATCGTGGAAATGAAAACATCGGTGTAGTGTTGGCTTATATAAAAAACTAGAAACAGAAAAAAATATAACAAGAAGATAACACTGAGAATATGGATTTAAATTAATTTATTTCAAGGCAACTCTTAATGAGCTGTACATGTACATAATGGGTGATAAGGAATGCATTTAGCAAAGTTTTATCTTTTGCACAATTCCACTAGTAATTACCAAGATTATTGAATATGTTTGGTTATATTTGATTCTTTCAATAGAGTAGTTAGCAAGTCTAATTAAATACAGATTTGTCACTTTTTTTGGATATCGAACCACAAGTTTATTCATGATCATAATTTGAAGATTTTTCTCAATCAATCATAAGATTATTTTATGATATGATAAGGATTACATTGTGTTGCCTCATTTATAAAATCATTATACTATTCAGGGGTTGAAACTTTTCATGTTGAAAAAAAAAATTCATTTTAGCTGTTTATTAGAAATATTTTTAAGAAAAAAGATCTTAAAATAAAATTCTGAGAAACTTTTTTGTAATTAATTTCCAGATTTATAATAAAAGTTTAACTTTTATCTATTCAATTACTTAAAAAAAAGTTCTGTTAATTGAAAAATAAACAGTAATTGGGCTTACATTAAAGTTATAATTTGTCTTAAGTGAATTAAAAATGATTCTATGAATGAAATGAAATGAAAAAAATAATTTTATTCTGGGACTACTGTCCCCTAAGAATGATAACAGAGTTACAAATTTATGTATATTAGTCTGACATAATAAAAATACCAACTAATTTATTGTTAATTGTTATTTCAATTGTGCAATGGATTGAAATTAAACATTGTATAAATGCAAATAATTTTACATGTTAGGGGAAGTTTGAATGTGGAGTAGGTGTTGGAACAGAAGTTGTTTGAAGGAATTTGTGGATGAGGATTGACGCATGGAGGTAGGAAGTGAGTTCCATAAGGAAGCAGCATGATTTGCGAAGGATTTGCTGAAGGAGGAAGTTTTATGGGAGAGAATATATAAGCCTATAGGTTGAGACCTAGTATTGAGAGAGTGGATAGAGGAGCGTAGAGTAAGGAGTTCCAGGATGTAGGGAGGGCTTTTGGTTCTGAGGACTTGGAAAAGAAAAACACCAAAGAGGAATTGTCGTCGGAAAGTAGGATAAAGCCACTTCAACTCAGTGTACCAGAGTGAAACATGTGAACGCCTGGGATCTCGAAAATGTATCTTATGAAACAATTCATGAGTCTCTTTAGTCTCATTTCCAGCCAGGCAGATAGCCCTCCATACACCAAACAGCCATAGTCGAAGTGAGAGAATACAAGGGAGGTTACAAGGAGCTGTCTGGTTTTTAGAGGAATACAATCACGGAATCTTAGGTGTTGTTTAAGGGCAGTTATTCTATGTGTTTTTTGTTTGAGCAGCCATGAATAAAAATCATTTTTTAGATTAAATTTTTTGCAAAATCGACAGAACTTTTAAATGAAAGTTTTTTAAAAATAAAAGTTTTGTAAAATCTTTACTTGAAAAGTTATATCCAGTTCCAAAACAACTATCAAACTATTTACAATAAAAATTCTGATGATACCAAAACTTTTTAAAAATAAAAGTTATTTTTTCCATTTCAAGCTCTGATACTATTCTTACTATTATCAATGCATTATTGAGTAGTTTGGGACTCCAGTATTGAGTGGAAAATGCACTGATATGATTTTTTGTGGATGTTAACATACACTAATGATTATTATTGTAAGAAATCTTATAAATGTATTACTGAAATAAAGATATTGTATTTACTTATTATAATATATTTATGGTTGATTATTTTGATCAAGTTTACCTCTCTGAAACAAATTGTAATTCTTCAAGAAAAATTGTAAATATGTTCATAGGTGTTTTATCATCTTCAAAAATGCTGATTGAGACTTCACGATTCTCTTGAAAATTTTGGCTTTTCACTATAGAATATTGCTGCAAGTCACGTGAGTTACGATTGTAAATATAATAATAATGATAACTATGTCTTTCAATTCAATTTTTGATTCTAAAAACTCTTTATTTAATTTCTTTATCAAACTAAACTGTGTATGTGATGTGGTAATAAAAAAACAAATTTCAGATGGTAAAAAGACCATATCAATGTTCAACTCGGTATTATGGAACCAGAACAATACTCTCAAAACAAAAAAAATATCTATAACAGTATAGTGCTGAGCATTATGACATATGGGTCAGAAACTTGGACCTTAAAAAGTAACCTCAGGAAGAAACTGCTAGCCACAGAAATGGAATACTGAAGACTGAATATCCAGAATGGATAAAGTGAGAAATATGACCATCAGAGAAACGATGGAGGCTAAAAGAACCATTCTGAAAGAGATTCAGAAAAATGCCAGAAAGTGGTATGGACATTTGAAAATAATGCCTGAAGGAAGACTACCCAAAGAAGTCCACTTATAGATAACTAGGGGAAGAAGAAGACATGGAAGACCTGAGATATCAAAATGGAGGAATTCATGATGGGTCATGGTCTACGGGAGGAATGGACTTAGATAGCACATTATGGAATGAAGCCATCCAAAAGCACTCTGGGTTAAGGAAACCCACTATTAGTAGAAACTTCTAAAAAAAAAAAAAACTCATAATTTAGATTTTTTTCTTATCCAACAAAATAACCAACAGTTTAATTTTGGAAATCAGATGTTGCTCTTCTATTTTGGTGGGACTGAATGGTAAAACCATTAGTATTATTAAGCTTTAAGATTAAAAAATCTGTTTCTGATCTTTTAATAATTATTTAATATATGTCTCATTTTGATTAAAAATGAAGTAGTTATTTAAATAAATTAAGACTGCTAATAGACACAAAAATATTAGAAAATTTTCTCATTATTATTAGAATTAAAGGGCTATCTCCTTCATAGAATCTAAAATCACATCAAAACAATGCAGAATATGATTGGGAATCTTTTAGAAATCAATTACATTAAACATTAATAAGCTAGATAGGGCAGCCG